TGTGGTACCGAATGACATCAGCACCAAAAGATGTTAACTGCTGTCTACTCTTGCTTTATCTGGTCCGCGCTTTTAAAATATCCCCTGTATCTGCGCCAGAGAGTGTCTGTCTCTCTGTTTCTCTGCACAGTGTGTGCTACTGTCACTAGACAGGTGCCCTGTCAGGTCGGGAAGAATTGATTCCCCGGTGCTGTAGAAAAGGGTACAATCACAATGGCATCGACTTGGTACAGAAGGATCGGTTCTCGTGACATCCCTAGGCTGCACACTTAAAGTATATTAACATGTAGTTTGCTTTACAAAAGACTAAAGGGACTCAAGCTACTCATAATTTGTGTCACTACCACAGTGGTTTTTCTATTTCAATTCTGCCCATGCACCCCACATCGTTCTTATATACTTTACTGTCTTGCTTCAGGTTGCACCGCATGACCTCCGTGGAGCGGGAGGAGAAAGAGAAGGTGAAGAAGCGAGAGAAAAAACTGGAGGATGAGGAGACACTGCAACAGGCCACTTGGGTCAAGTACACCATCCCTATCAAGCACCAGGTAAAACAACAGCATCTTTCTATCTGTCATCCAGGTTTAACGTCATATATACATACTGACATAGAGCAGTGGTTCATCTAACTGTTGAACTAACTATTCCAACTATTTATCCAGTGCTTTTACCTGTTCACACCTCTGTTTGAGGAATAGGTTTTCACACACTGTCAATTGTCATCCATGGTGTTCAAATCATTAAATAATCATAATCATTGTCAGAAGGGCTACTCTGTATACTTCCATCCATGTTAAATTGATGCATGGATGTGTATATTTTCACTTTAAGGTGTTTTCAGACAGGGTTGAAACAATTTGACTGTTGGTGTGGGCTCATAGTCTCCCTCATTGACAGTATGTATAGTGGACAGAGCTTCTGGGTTTGTGAAGTGAAGCCAACGCAGTAAGTATCGAAAATAGGAAGTTGATACTGTGTCTACATGTTCTCTGAAATAAATTGGTTCTTTGTCTGAAAGCCTCATTATTTTGTTTTTGTTTTTCTATCAAGGTGTGGAAGCAGAAGGGTGAGGAGTACAGAGTGACGGGGTACGGTGGCTGGAGCTGGGTCAGTAAGACTCGTGTGCCACGGTTTCTTCCGAGGCTACCAGGGAACACAAATGTAAACTACCGCAAAGAACTAGAGGGTAAGAGCTAAACATGGCATGATTCCATCAATAAATTCTCCTACTGCTGTCACTCTTGGCTCACATTATTTTACATATTACATATTTAATTATTTTCTTTTCTTCTTCTTTTTTTTGGCTGTGTTGACAGCAGCGAAAATGAGCAAGGAAAATGCAGCAGCTGGCACAGATGAGCAGAAAAAGTCCATGGACACCGAGAAGCAGAATACTGCAAACACAGCGGACGAGGACAATGGACAAACATCCATCACTGCGTCATCTCAGAGCACTTCATCAGAGGAGGACAACTGTCAGACGTCCAAAGAGGAAGAAAAACCCATGGGGGAGGAGCAGGGAACAAATGAAGAAGAGAAGAGAGAAGATGACAAAATGGAGGTTGACTCCTGCTCAGAAACTGCTGCTTCAAGTGACGAGAAAGGTAAATGTTTAAATTGATGCTGATATATGTTTAGGACAGATATACGTTTCCACCATCCACTGACCTCTGTGATCTTTGTTATATAGCTGAAGCCGATAAAGCTGAAAGCAAAGAGCCCTCCTCGCCTTCTGTGGAGCCTGTGAGGGAAGAACCAATCCAGAAAGTTGAACAACCCATGAAGGAGGAGGCCACTGCACCAAAGCCCTACTACGATGTCGTCAATGTCAGCGAGGGCTTCCAGCTGCGGACAGCTTATAAGAAGAAGGTGAAGCCGTCCAAACTGGATGGGCTTCTGGAGCGCCGGGTAAAACAGTTCACCCTGGAGGAGAAGCAGAGGCTAGAGCGGATGAGACAGGCAGCCCTGCTCTCCAAAATGGCTGCTACAAAGCCTACCTCTGGTGTTAAGACTGAAGGATCCACATCAGGCAAACAGCAGCCTGCTGTGGCCCCATGTGTAAAAGAAGAGGAGGAGAGCCTTCAAGTGAAAGATCATGTGGTTAAAAGGCTTCACTTTGAGCAGGAGCAGACAGAGATAAAGGCAGACAACATAGATGTCAAATCAGACACCACAGTACCCAACCACAGCAAAAAAATGGAGGTAAATGCTGTGCAGGGGAACGGCAGGGAGGCCTTATCTCACATAGAAGTGAACGGAGGACCCTTGGCGAGCACTGAGCTAAACAGTAAAAACAATTGTATGTCTGATGCAATAGACAAAACACAGAAACCAGAGGTGGCTCGAGTGGGAGAGAATGCCAAAAAACGTGCATATGAGGAAATGGAAAAAAGCAGTGGACAGAGTGACACAGATGGCATGGCGGTAGACCAAAGCAAGACCAGTCCAGTGCAGGTGAATGGGAAGGCTGGGGGTACAGCCCTTGCAGGGTCAAACATCAACTCAGAACCAGCAAGCCGAGTCCAAAGTGATATTAAAGAGCCTCAGAAAGAGTCTGTCAAGTCCCTGATGAATGGAAACCTCTCGCAAAACGATGTGTCCGACATATGTCATCCACCTCCCCTGAAAGTCCCCAAATTAGAGAACCACGTGGCAGAGAAAGGAGACTCTCTCAGTAAGAATGAGGATGTGGACAAGAACAGTGAGGAGACAGTACCCGCTAAGCTTCCATCCTCAAGCCCCTCTTGCCTGAATAGTAATAGCACCGACACTAGTGGTGAAGGTTTGAAGACTTCCACCTCCACAGAGTCTCAAAATGAACCGCACTCTGACGTCGTGTCTCAAGCAGCAAGTAGCGCCGTCGCCTCTGTTACCACCACCCCAACCCAGTCCAGCTCCAAGGCAATTGTCCCCCAGAATACCAAACTTCCTGTCACTGACACCAAGATGGTCACTTCTGGTTCAGCAACAACCAGCTCGATGACGATTAGTAAGGAGTATTCCACCAGGGACCCAGTGAGCCTTCTCAGGTTCTCCAAATCCAAGAAGGCACGCTCAGGGACGGCCCTGCCGTCCTACCGCAAGTTTGTCACCAAGAGCAGCAAGAAGAGCATCTTCATCCTGCCAAATGATGACCTAAAGAGACTGGCGAGGAGGGCAAGCATCAGAGAGGTGCCCATCTTCAACTACAATGCCAAACCAGCCCTGGATATATGGCCCTACCCTTCACCTCGGCCCACTTTCGGGATCACGTGGAGGTTGGTAACACATTTAAATCTTTTTACTCATTGTTTGGGATACTAAAAAAATACATTACAGTTTTTTCTTTTATTTGAAGCAGATTTAAGATTGACAAACCAACTTTAGATCAGACACAAATGTCGGTCCCTACAATAATAAGAGATTCTTTTGATTCATGAGCATTGTATTATGTTATGAGGATGGAAAAATAAAAGTACGGTAAATTAAAGTAAGTGTGCAAAGACGTAGCTCAAGTTTGTTATAACTGTTACCCATTCAGGTATCGTCTCCAGACTGTGAAGTCGCTGGCAGGGGTCAGCCTGATGCTGAGGCTGCTGTGGGCCTGCCTGAGGTGGGACGACATGGCCGTTAAGCCCTCTGCTGCCGTAGGGACTACTCGGAAAGGTGAGATAATGCTGATGTGTCCCTTTGAGGAAGCCGTCTTACATTAGTTTCGATTGGATATAGAAAATCGTTCCTCCCCACTGCAATAAGACTTTCTAATAATAATTGACTCTGAATCA